TATGGTAGGCAGAAGATTCCCATGACCTAATCCCTGGGACTTGTGCAGATATGATTAAGTTAAAGGTCTTCAGGTGGGGAGATGCCTCAATTATTCAGGTGGGCCCAATATAATCACAGGGGCTCCTTTAAATGAAAGAGGGAAATAGCAGAATGAAACTCAAGACAAGGAGATGTGATGATGAAAGCAGGGGTGAAAGTCAAAGATGGAAGATGCTCCACTCTTGGCTTTGAAGATGTAAAGGGCCGCAAGCAAATGGCATTCTGGAAGTCAGAAGTCCAAACTGGGTTTCACTGGGCTAAAATCATGATGTCAGCAGGGCTGCATTCCCTCCAGAGGCTCTTAGGGAAAATGGTTCCCTTTCCTTTTCCAACTTCTAGAGGCCACCTGTGTCCCTTGGCTTGTGGCCCCTTCCTCCACTTTCAAAGCCCCGAGCTGAGGAGCATATGCAAACCTCTCCCTGACTCTGCTTCCTTCTTCCACTTATAAGGATCCTTGTGATTACACTGGGTCCATCAGACAACCCAAGATAATCTCCCTGTCTTAAAATCCTTAATTTAATCATATCCGCAAAGTCCCTTTTGTCATATATGGTAATAATATATTCAGAAGTTCTTAGGATTTATATAGGGATATCTTTTGGAGGTCATAATTCTGTCTACCAGATAGCTCCATGACCTTACATGATGAACATGTTGAAATTCCTGTTCAGTTCTGGCTCCCGCACTTTGAGATGCCAGCAAACCAGGACACACACCCAGAACAACCAAAAGAGTCACCTCATTTACGGAACAGCTTAAGGAACCATACCGATTAAGAGTAGCAAAGCATCAGGACTGAACTGATTTGGGCACCATGGAAACGATACTTTCCAATATTGTCAGATAAATATTTTTGGTTAACTGAATACAGGACTCTGGTTACCCAGAAATTATAACAATAAATTATGTGTTCAGGAAATTGGGCTATGATTCTAAACTGAAACTGAAAATAAATCTTTGAATCATTCATTAGCAATCGGAAGGCACTACAATGCAGTGTCACAAGATCATCTAATTTATTGTTTCCTGTATAAAAGACAGTATTTGATAATTAATTGCTCATATTAAAGTTTCACAAATCTAATGCATTTTAATTTTTAAAAAGTCAGTTGTTACCTTGCAATATTCTTTAAAATGACATAAATCACAGGGAAGGAAAAGGGTCTTAGAGATCCATTAGTTCAACTCTTTCATCCCTAATAAAAAGTCAATTTTACCTAAAAATTAACCTGAAAAAAAGTCAATTTCCCCTAAAAGTTAACCTGTGGGGGTACGGAAAGGAAAAAGGTGATTATGAAATGGGAACAAGGTTGAGATTTTTCTGGATGCTTGCAAAATCATAAATTAAATGTACTTAAATGCTTTATGATTGTTTATAATCTAGGTGCTGCTAATAAACTATCCATTTACAACATCTTGACTAGCAAAACCAAGGAGTTAGGCAAGTTGAGTAGGCACGATATGTAGAGGGTAAGACTAAATAAGCTTTCAGGTCAGTCAGAGGGACTTGTATCCCAGACCTCCATTTGCTAGCCCGGTGGTCATTAGCAAGTAACTCAACCTCACCTTCTGGCGAAATGAAGTGCGATAATGTAAGATTAGCGCTTTGGGGAGTCAACGTTCCAATCAGTGCCTGCTGTAGCTGTCAGGGCTTGGTCCTTATTTATGCACTTTTGCAATGACACATTTGCAACTGGGAAACGTTAAAATAATGGTTCCTTAATAGATAACCCCAAGCCCCAAATAGGAGGTAATGGCATAAAGGTATGGAATCCACACATTAAATGTCAAGCCACATTCCACCACCAGAGGTTGCCTCGGATATGGCCGGAAGTGACTGTGCCCCTAAGTAACATGGCGTCCAGGTGATTTCCGTTCGTTTACTCTCCTGTAATTGGTCTTGATGGCTTCTCGCGATTTTTCCAGAGGGCACCGGCTTAGCAACTCCTCTCGCCTGTCCCTTCACGGAAGGCGGGGCTACGAAGGAGGTGCTGCGTAATGATTGGTTGTGGTGCGATAGGACTGTGGCGACGGAAGGGGTTGGACCGTCCACGCCAGGCGGTGATTGGTTGTCGAGAAGCGGGGCGACTCGACCGCTGGAGAGGTAGCCGCAGCGGTGAGGAGAGCCATGGGTCAGGCGGCCAAGGTGACAGGGCCCCGGGAGGGGTTGGGTGCAAAGTAAACGGGGAGGGTAAGAGCGCGGCCTTGCGAACGGAGTCTGGAGTCTCTGAAGCTGGGGTTCAGGTTCCTCTACGGAGGGTGTGGCCGTTACACCTGAGGAGCCCGTGACTGACCCCGAAGGGCAGTAGGGGGTTTATGTAGGTGTGGAGGAGGGAGGACCGCACCGGGCTCCTCCTACATAGTGTACTGGTTTTATCCGTGTTTACCCGCGATGCAAGCCTGCGACTTGAGTTCTGACCCCGTTCCCTCTCCACACCGCGTGTTTGCGTGAGGGACCCGTTTCACATCCTTGGAAAGTTTACGAGACACCAAGGCAGCCCTGCGCTGCAGCCATCCGATGGGGTGAAAGGTTTCTTCAGATAACCAGAAGGTGCGCAGACGTCTGGGAACCAAGGAAGCTGAGTCCCGGCAAAATCACTTGCCAAAAGTAACGCTGGCGAGACAGAGCAGAGATTCGCGAGACCTGAGTGCTCTGACCAGCTTGGGAAGTGATGGCCCTGCAGGGGTCGGAATCAAATCCCTTAGGACTTGGCCCCGCATTCATTTCTCGTCAAACTGATGTGCGTTCATGTTCAGTGTACAATTCCCTGGGACCAGCCATCCCTAACGTTAAATACCAATATGGCCGATTGAGACTTGTCCTTGTCACTGGGTAGAACATTGGCATGGGAAAAGGGACATGGCCAGCTGCAATACAGTGAGGCAAAGCAATGCATAAGATTGGTCAATAATAGGAAACCACCAAGCAGTACTTAGTGGTACTACTGAACTGGGTGTGCTTAGCACATTTTAATACATGTCACAGCACCAATAGAAACAGAATTGTAATGCTTTAATCATTCCAAAAACTTATTGTGTGTCCATAATAGCTATCAGTAGCACATAACAGGCAGAATTTAACCTATACTTGGTGAGCATAGTGGATGTAACAAAAAAGAGACCACCTTTACCTTCTTGTAGAAGTCTAATAGGTAGGGGGATTTTAAACGATAACTTAATTACAAGTTTAGTAAATGCTAAATTGAATTGAGTTGAAAATATAGTGTATTTTGTGAGCATATAACGGATTTAGCCTATCTGGAGGGAGGGAAAAATTTTCTCATAGAAGTTAAGTTGAGACCGGAAATGTGATTAGAAATTAGCTAGAAGAGAGAAAAGAATATTCTGTAAAGAGGAAATAACATATGGACAGTACTTAAAGTGGAAAGTTGCTTGGAAAACTTGAATACGAATGAAATTAAATAGGATTCATTTCAAAAACACAACGTTTAGAACTACCATGTGTAGAAGACACCTGTGCTAAGTGAGGAAGATACAAAGGTGACTGAGAAGCCTTTGAGGAAGTAGGGGACAATAGCAAGTAAGCCTTTAATTAACAAAAACTGTACTAAGTGCCCACTGCTGTGAATGTACTCAGGAGGGGCATATTACCCAGACTTAGAAGAGAGAGGTGAGTAATCACTATCTAAAGTGAATCCTAGTACAGAAATTATATCATCCACCCTCCAACTTAGTCCATTTTTCAGGAAAATTGAGGCAAAAAGGCTAAGGAATTTGTCTAAGCTTACCATAAGTGGTAATGTCAGATTCAAACTGATAAAATTGTTAAGAATTTACATTTCGTTATACACTGCCTGAATTTGTCCAATCAGTGTAAGTAAATGAGGAAGAGAAGATAGTCTGTGATCTAGTTTTCTACTTTTTAATAAAAGTTTGAAGGCAGTAATGATGACATTTTCTTTTTCTTACACTATCCTTAAAGTAAGGATACTGGTTGTTGTACTACTGGAATCACTTTCCTTTCTTCCCAAAGTACCATGTAAAATGGTTAGACTGACTGACTTCTCACTTTCTTCCATGAAGCCTGTCCTTCACCACACTTCTAATACTAAACTCCCTGGTTTCTATGGTGTTCTGCCACCTTTAAAGCCTCTATTTCTACCAACGATATTTTTAAGACAATCTCAGCTTTCACTGAGGTCAAACACCTTAACATTCTTCTGATCTCTACACATTACTCAATTCCATAGCCACTTCCACAGTTTTAGGTATTTGTTACAGCAGGACCTCACTTCCGGGTAGTAAAATCGGTGTTAGTTTCCTATGGCTGCTCTAACAAATCACGAGAAATCGGGTGGCTTAAAACAAGTTTATTGTCTCACAATTCTGGAGGCTAGAAGTCTGAAATCAAGGTGACAGCAGAGCCATGCTCCCTCTAAAACTCTCAGTAGAATCTTGACTTCTTCCTAGCTTCTGATGGTGGCCATCAAACAAACCTTAGTGTTCCTTGGCTTGCTATTGTATCACTCCAGTCCCTGTCTCCGTCTTCACCTGTGGTCTTTTCCCTGTGTGTCTCTTTCTTCACATGGCATTTTCCTCTTCTTTTAAGGACACCAGTCATATTGAATTAGGGACTGCTCTAATGATTCACCTTAACTTGGTTGTATCTGCAAAGACCCTATTTCCAAAATAAGGTCACATTTACATGTATGGAGGATTAGGACTTCAACATGTCTTTTTGTCAGGGACATATTTCAAGCCATAACAACATGGATGTACCATTTTATTTATCCATTCATGAGGTGGCAGACATTTGGGTTATTTCTACTTTGTGACTATTATATATAATGCTACTGTGAACATTCATGTACAAGTTTTTGTGTGAACATATGTTTTCATTTCTCTTGGTTATATACCTAGGCATGGAACTTCTGGGTCATATGATAACTCTTTGTTTAACTTTTTCAGCAACTGCTAAACTGTTTTCCAATGCAGATGCACTGTTTTATGTTCCCACCAACAATATTTAAGAGTTTCAGGTTTTCCACATCCTTGCCAATACATGGTATTGACTGTCTTTTTTTTTTAAGTATATTTGTACAATGTTATATAAGTTACAGGTGTACAATATAGTGATTCACAATTATTAAAGATTATACTCCATTTATAGTTATTGTAAAATATTGGCTATATTGTTGTATAATACATATCCTTGTAGCTTATTTTGTGCCTGATAGTTC